CCAGCCATTGAAGTTGTGGTCCAGTGATCTGGTGGGCCAAAACAAACAAACAAAAATCTTCACACAACATGGGATTGATTTATGGAACTTGGTGCCAGCTTTCTTCCTCTGCTCCATTACCATGAGCTATAAAGATCAACGGAGAATGCTGTGCGCTGAGGTGATCCAGGGAGGCACCCCTGCCAGGAATTCCAGTTGATCTGAGTGAAGGGCATTTCATTATGTTTCTCACGGACTTCCACCTTGACGATAGCCCACCATTTATACATTAAAAAAACGTGGGCAAATCACACTAATTTTCATGCAAACTGCACTCCACAGGTATGTGTGTTTGGAGGAAATGGGCCCATTGCTGCAAATCAGCCAATTTCATATACATTTCTGTGCCTGCTTTTGATGCGCAAACCACTCACCTGTCTTGGGGACAGAAGTCCATGAGTGACCTTCATCCACACCACAGGAGTTGGCACCAACATGGAGCTGGTGACTGGGATCCGGGGCTGCTGTTCCGTCGAAGCATGACTAGGCCTGCATTTGTTGGGAAAATTTGGATAAATCCTGTCTGAAAAGCATTACTCCTGTGTGCCTTTGCATTGTGGGATCAAATCCTGTCTTCCTTCTCAAAACGAAGCTGTCACTGTTTAAAATGGCCTTCATCCCCCGCTCCTTTCTCTCACCTTTAGCTGTAAGCTACAGCAGACAGGCCATTTTAGCCCAAATATACATTGTAAATAGTCATTGTTGGAATTCAGTTTACAATAATCTTTTGATAGCCCAGAGGGCTTCATGTGCCCTGATCATGCAGAATGTTTAGAGTCGAGATGGGGGTCTGAGCTTATCATGAATAGTTTCTAGTAGCTTGAATTTGCATGTCTGAGCAGACCTGGAGATGGGTTCAAGTTACTCAACTAAAGTGTCAATACAGGCAATTAGAAATATTGTAATCTCATTGTTACAGTGTGATTGACTGACATTTCTTTATCTGTTCTGTATGTGGTGACCTCAGAACCTTATTGTAATCTCTGCATTCTGTCATCAATTGCCCTGTACCTGTGTACCTATAAATGCCCTGTAATGGTATTGAAGCTTTGCAGCAGAGTTCATCTCTGCCTGCCCGGTAATACAGCCTGCATTATCGTGAGTGTACCGCGGGAACCTTGGGGGTAAAACAATAAAGCCTCAGATGGTCTGGACGCTTGGTCTTTGCCACGAACCCGTGTTTTATTCCCTCTTCTCAAACTGAGATTCTGGGATTCTGACACATTCTAAGTATTCACCAAACCAGTGGGTGCTGGAAGGCATTAACATTGAAGGTTTGTACTTACCTCAAGTTGCATGCCGTGGTTACATATTCTCAGCTATATTTGGTGATACAGTATCTCAAAATATTTACATCAGAGCCAGAAATACATGCACAAGTATTTTGTTTTTAACAGTGTATGTTGGGTTTAATTGTTGCTACCCTGGGAAAGGATCTAATTTGCCACTTACAAATTGCCAAAAAGAGGGTATGTATCACTCTCAAACAAAGGTGGGGATTTGCATAAAATCCGCATATGCTCATGGGCTCCCAGAGATGCAGATTTAGAACTAATTGCTGCGATTTAAAAACAAGTGCAGCCCATCTCCCCATGGCATGCGAGGAGCGGTGTGTGTTCGGGGCCTAAAGGGAGACGGCCGGAGCAGAGTTTCGACGGAGGATGGAGGACGCATGCGTTCAGACCAAGCCCTTCCAAAGGGCTGGGCGCCAGGCCGCTCCAGACCTGCAGCAAGGGGCTGTAAGCACCAGGGGGACAAGAAGACAGGCAGCCCCAGAAGAGCAAACAAAGGGGAGAAAGACCCTCTCTGGCGCTTCTGCTGCAGCCTGGGCCACATGCCTGTGCTCGGTCGAGAGTCCCAGTTCTTGCACAAGCCTTTATCCCGTCCTTGTTCAATCAGGCTGTGCCATGCCTCAGGGCACGCTGTAGCCACTTGGCTAAGGATGTGCAAAACCTTCCTGACGGCTTTTGCTAAAATGCTGGGGCCTAAAGAAAATCTTCCCAAGGTGTGACTTAGCCTCAGGGATAACTACTGTCGAGTTACTATTTTGCCAAAGCCTGGAAGAAGCAAGGAGAAGAACTTATTGCTCACAAGCTAGCACACAAATCCTTAACTGTTGTATCCAAGTCCCTTTAATTATGCAGCAGTGCTTCCTGGGCAGAAAGGGGGAAGCCAAGAGAGGGCCAAGGGCCCTTCCATAAACCTCGTCAGTTGGGTGACAGGATTCTGCCGAGCCATGATGAAGAAGAGGGATGCCCTTTGCATGGGTTCAGATGTGCCACTCTTGCTGTACAGAAACCACATTTCTACAGAATTACAGGACAAAGCCAGACACGAGCACAGAGGCCAAGAGGACTGCTATGCAAACACGGCTCATCTTGCTGCTTTCCTTCTGCCTGCCCTGGGACTCTTCCAAGGACCCAGCCAGGGTCAGGTTTTAGATATTAACAGGCAGGGAGCTCTTCATGGCAAATCCAGGGAAAAGTCAAGCTGCTGCCAGGAGCCGGGGGCTGGGAATGCCGGCAGAGCAGCTCACATGATCAGAAAGGCTGCTGGGATGCTTGTTGGACACTGAGGAAGATTAATTGTGTTTGTTTGGGTTTGGGCTGTGTTTTTCTTCAACATCTGTTTTTTAAAGACACTTTACAAAATAACTTAACACCAAGGATCATTGATAAGGAAAAGTGACCCAAAAGCTAATTGAATCATGCAAATACCAAACATACCTTTGCTGACCGCAACATGAAGGCAATCTTTTCGCTGGCTGCCTACAAGACCTAGGGCGACCGATCACAGGAATCTACTCTGTCTTTCTTGTGAGCATGATGATGGAAGGCTGAATTATTTTCTCACAGAAAAATACCATATAGGATTTATGTCTTTATCAAAAGACAATAGGCTGCACGTAACGCACCCTTAATTTGATTTCCTGAAAGACAATTTCCTGAAAATATACCAATTAGGCTGTTACCTGGCAGTGACCTTTGGGCTTTATTATAGATGTTTAAAAATTAGCAGTTTATGGAGATGGAAAGGGTTGAAAAAATACAAAATAAAACCTAGTAGTCTTACAAGGGAATTACAACTGCAGAGGATTGTTGAAAAGTGAAAAATATTGGCAACCTTCCCTTCTCGCTACAGTGCTCATTGTGTGTTTTTATCAGGATTTTGATAGGACTTGATAACACATCTGTGGTCAAAGTCCAGACATTTCCACTCATGGGGTGTAATTCACGGACCCTTGTCCTCCTTCAGACCGATGCACACTTTTGTGAAAAGTGTGGTTTGTAAAACTTCCACAAATGCGAGGAGGATGTGGATGTAGCCAAGCTGTGCAAGCAATGCCTACATTTGAAACAAGACTTGGATGCCTCCGCAGAAAGAAAGGAAGTCAAAGATCTCAAGCTGATATGGACCCCAGATGGGACCAGCCTCAGGGTGGCATCTGGGCCTTAGACAAGCTCAGGGCCTGTTTGTTTGTTTGTGTGTGCGTTCTAGACTTGATTTTGCAGTTGCTTTTCGCCCTGCTGTAGATCGCACGAGTCTTCGCCGTCGTTTCTCACACCACGAGAAACGTGTTGCGCATCACATGTGCTGCTGTGGTCCCCCTGGTGCCCCCATCCCCATTTCCTTTAAACATTAAAAATAAATAAACACCTAAGGCCAACTCTTCTGCATTCAAGGCATGGTGAGAACTTAGTGAGCAGACAAATGTTGCACGCTTCTCCAAATATTATGCTGCAGTTTGTGGCAGTTTTAGCACCTATTAAGCCAATCTGTGCATGAAATATTTGAGAAAGATGCAATCGAGGTGAGAAGATCTCTTTCAGAACCTGCAGAAAAGGAAGGAAATGGAGTGATGGGTTGAATGGCAACGACACACTTCTGGCCATTCGTTGTGGCAGTGATGCAAACACTGATGGAGCGGTTATTTCCGCCGTGTTCTGTCTGGATTGCCCAGGAAATGGAAAGATCCGTGGCTCGTCACCTGGCGCATTGCTAACTTACCCTTCTGGTAGGGGCCCACATACAGGGATAAGCGGCCAGCTGGTTCAAATATAGTCCCCAGCAGGCCCAGGCAACCTGGCCAATGGGCCTGGAGAGGGATGTTGTGATCCAGCAACATCTGAAGGAAGGTGCTTTCTCATTTCTGCTTTAAGGGCAAGCTTAGGTCTTTGCCTTGTTTATGTTTGATTTGTGCGTCGCTTTGAAAGGGAAGCGACTCTTCCAAAGTAGCATACAAGGTGAATTATGCAATACCATCTTTTCTAAGCCATACAAATTTTGGTTATTGGGTGGAATGGAAACATTAAAAATCCTTCTAAGAATCATCATGATTCAATCATCATAATTATAACATCAATTAAAAAGATAGTACATCTGCAAGGTGGGCTATCAGAACTTTCCCTAAAAGTCTTTTTCTTGCAAAGGAGCCTGATGTACCCCGATGGAAGCTAATTTCAGAGGTGTGGAAATTCAAGTCCTTGCCCCTCGTACGCACCAGCCTACTTGGTCCTTTGCAAACTGAGAGGCACTGTTGTTGGTGTCAGTGTGATAAAGATACCTTTGGGTCACTGGGACCCAGCCTGTTCTATGGCTGCAATGCTTACAGCGTTGGATTTCGGTCCTTCCCAGAACAGCCACCTTGATCTGTCAAAGCCCAACCCAGACCGAGGGGGAAGAAGACCGCATCCACATGCTGGTTCATGAAAGCAAAAAGTTTATTCATGGTTTGAAACTACATAGAACTACCACGAGGAAGACTCTGAAGGTTCAGGGTGTAATCCAGTTAGAAAGTAACACGAAACGGTTTAATACATTAGAATCACTGCCACAAATTATCATTTTTTCATTGAGTCAATCAGTTTGAGAATCGCATACAATATAAAAGAGAGGAGGAGAAGGAAAAAGAAAAAGAAAAAAAGGACGCCCACCCCACCCCCCCACCCGCAATTATACCGTACTGAATACTGAGACCTCTGTTTTACAATCCGTTATTGGTTTTATTTTTTTTCTCTTTTTCTTTTGCGTGAATTAGTATAGTAACAAGATGAAGAACATTCAAAATGTTTCTTTGTATTTACAAACAGTTTTACTGTTTTGTGTTGAACCTAAAGACTCAGTGTTTCCACTTCAAAGATTTTTTTTTATTCTTTTCGAAAGTCACCAGGGCGACCTGAATTTTTAAAAACGTTTTAATTCTTGTCATCGTCGTCATTTAAAAGATTACAATGTACATTACATCTCATGAAGGGAAACAAAGAGTTAATTACAAGATGCCAAAAAACCCAACCCGAAAATCAAAACCAAACCAAACCAAACCCAAAAGGATAGAGGAAAAATTTAAAAAAAGGGATATAAACTACAGCCACGAGTATTGTTTAGAGCAGCCTTTCCCAAACTGGTGCCTTCCAGATGTGTCTGACCACAACTCCTATCACCCCCAACAAGCCGCCCAGACTGGGGGTGATGGGTGTTGTAGTCCGATATGTCTGGAATGTGCCGGGCCGAGGAAGGCTGGTTTAGAGGTAGGTAGTGAGCACTCTAAGCGAAAGAACATGTTTCTATTGGTTCGTATGAGTTTGCATGAGGTAATAAAGCTGTGTTTTGATTGGTGAAATGTATAAATACTCTTTTGCTACACTATATACAACGCTCCAGAGAAAGGTGCCATTCCGGCCTCTCACTGCCGTGGACGAGCGGCGGCCAATCCCCGGACGGATGCACTCGTACTGTAAAACCCATCGGCGGGCGTTCGGAAACGCCGGAAGGATACCTCTCGCCTTGCGGCGATCGTCCGTGCCCACCGGCGTGCGGTGAGGCTAGGCTCTGCACCGCGGGATGCTAAGAAGGGTGAAACGGGGGAGGAAGAGGAGGGACGAAGGCCTTCCCGGGGTCCCAAGGGAAACGGCTAAGCGACGGGGCCCGGCCGAAAGCGAAAGCATTGGGTCCCCCGAACACGAACACGAATCCACCGGTGGAATACGGTGGACCGAGCAAGGCGCAGCTTTGCTCGAGAAGGTGTGGAAAGAGTGGAAGATGAAAGGACGTTCGGCGTCCAGAATTAACTCAGGTCGCAATGGCGGTTCCCTGTGGGCAAAGCCCCCCAGGGCCTGGTTCTGCTGTGTGAGGCGACTCTTAAAGAACGGTTTTCGTTTACCCCGTAAGGCCAGGAAACTCGCATCCTGTAGGCCGTCCTTGCAGGTCCCACCGACAATAAATTATTTTCTCAAAATAGTTACAGGGCTACAAACAATGCTTAACTCTTGGCCTAGTTGGATAAAGTGCTTGGTGGTTTTATTTTTCCTTAACATTGCATGAGTGTGCGCATCTTTGTGATATTTCAGTACATATACAAATGATTTAGATAGCTTCTGAAGGGGGAAAAAACAAAACAAAAGAGCGAGAACAAAACAAACCCACACACTATCGATTTTTCGAGTTCTTGGATACAACGGGGGTTTTACAGTAAAGCCATCAGTGACTGACTGGGGTGGGGGGGCAACATTTCCTTTCTGCGGTTTTCCTTTTCCTTCTAGGATTCTGAATGCGCTAGAGAAAGGCATCTCAACTTGCGGGGAACAAAAAAGTGACGTGAGGAGATTAGTTAGAGGTATCGGAGTGCACACTTCCCGGGCCTTCTGTTGGAGAGGTCACTGAAGATGGAGTGGTCGCATCCTGCCAGCCTCCATTTGCCTGGAGAGAGAAAGAGAACACACGATTCAGAACACAGTCCATCATCGGAGCATCACGGTGTGTGCCCCTACACGGGGAGTCCTGAAGCCTGCGAGGGCAGGATTCGTCCCTTCTTGCAACTTACGAGTCTCCAAATGGCTCGTTTCGTTTGCGATTAAAAAAAAAAACAAAGACACAATCAAAGCTGGTTTTAAAAACACAACGTCGCTTTAAATTCTTCACTCTGTGCTTTTAGCTCATGTGGATCATGGCTCTGGAAACTGGCTGGATATGGAGCGGTATGTGGAAAGCGTAAAGTAAATGAATACGTAAATGAAATTCAAGAAATCAGAGCAGTGGCAGAGTTGTAACCTAGTCAAAGAGGTGGGGAGGGGAATAAATATCACGGCTGCACACAGAAGACAAGGTGTTTTAAAGCATGTAGAGCTGGCAAAACATGAAAAGGCCTAGCAAGATAGAAAGGGCTCTGCCAGGAGATGGAACATTCAACCAGGTGGGTGCTGGGTGGACCCGAGCCAGGAGGGCCTTCCAGGATTTGGGGGCCACCGCAGAGAAGGCCTGCTCACCAGTAAGCCAAATCTCAGTAGGTGGGACGACTTGGAGCAAAGCCTTGGATGATGATCCCAGGGAACGAACGGACTGGAATCGAGCCGGGGCCAGTGGAGATGCTGCGGACCTGCTGTGACAGGACAGAGGGCAACCGGTTCCAGCTAATACCCTGGTTGCCAGATTTTAACTGAGGCTTCCAGGCCATTTTCAAAGGCCGCTTCTTGTGCAATGCATTACTTTGCCCTGGGCAGGGAGATTGCCGGAGCAAGCATCACCAGAACCAGCCACTGGGTCCATCATGTTGCCAGAAGCGAGGCATTATCTGCCTTGTTAAGAGAGCCAGACGCATGTACGCATGCGCTTGAAACATTTCTATGCTGTCCTTTATGACGTCTCAGGGTGGCTTACAACACTGAAACCAATAACCGATAAGAACTATCAATAAAATGATACAGCAAAATAGTATATAACCAGTAAAAAAATAAATCAAAGGCAACTGTTAAATGACTAAAATTACTAATTTTTAAAATGACGTTTAAATAAAAAGGTTTTGACTGGACGCTGAAAAGAATATGGGCTCAGCTCCAGGCGAACCTCTCTGGGGAGCGCATTCCACAATCTGGGCGCCACCGCAGAGAAGGCCCTCCTTCGAGTAGAGATCCTTTTCACCTCCTTCAGGGAGGCTTCCCGGAGCGGGGCCTCTCCCGCAGATCTTAAGGGGCGTGAGGGCATATAAGGAAGGAGACGTTCCTTCAGGTATCCTGGTCCCAAGCCATTTAGGGCTTTATAGGCTAAAACCAGCACCTTGAATCTGGAATTCGCTTGGCTTCCAAGGAGAAGGGGAGCCGGAGGAGGGCTCCAGGTTTTCTGCAGGAAGGGCCCTTTCTTGAGAAGCTGAAGACCCCAGGCCCTCTGCCTCCCCTCCCCATATCATGCTCTTTTCGGCCAAGCCCTGCCGCTCGGCTCCGCAGGTGTGGTGTGTGCTCCCTGGGGGAGAGGCCCCCCTCCTGTCCCCCACGGGGCTGCCTCCCCCAGCGGGCCACTCACCTCCGCCGCAGAGGCTGCGCAAGGAGGGTGCGCGGCCCCGAGCTCAGCCGGAGAGTCTGGGCTTCTCCAGCCGTGTAAGAATCCAGAGCAGGGCGGCGGGGGCAGGGAAGGAGAGAGAAACCCTAACGCGGCTGGATCTTAATTTCATTTTTAAAAGTCTCCCTTCTGGGCACACGTCAGGAGCCATTTGGGAGGCCAGGAGAGACGAGGCCTGAGCCTCCCTCCAACTGCTGTAATCCTGGAGCAGAAGCCGCGGGAGCAGAAGGAGAGGCACCCTGTTCGGATCTATTTTCCAATTACTCGTGAACAGAAGTCTTCTCCCTTCCCCCCCACCCCCCTTTTCCGGATGCTGCTCCCCGTCTCGGGCTGCTGCCGGCCCCCCAACGCATTAGACCTACATCAGCAATAACAGCGCTCAGAAACAAATTCGCCTGATGTCTTGGCCCATTGAGGCAATTGCTGAAATCAATGTCTGATCAGATTTCTGCTGCAGCAGACAGCTTGTCGCTACATATTTTTATGTCAGTCAAGAAGAGGGAGGCGCGGGCCGTGTGAGTTGCAGGGCGACGCTGAGTGGAAGTGACGGGCCCAGGCCAGGCTTGCGCTCGCTGGAGGCCGACTCGGAGAGCCGACTCGGAGAGCGCAACGGCCTCCGCGGGGATCGGCCCCCAGATCCGAAGCCCGGTCCACCCGGACAGGGTGAGCAAGCGCGCTCGGCTAGTTCCCGGGCAATGTGGCTCGCGGCTGAAGCAAGATGGTGGTGGGGTCAGCGAACATCCCGGCTGGTGAGAGGCTCAGCGTGCCGAGATGGAAAAGAGCAGTGAGTGAATGGCGGCAGGTCGACGGCTTGGCTCCTTCTATCCAGCCCTGGAGGAACTTGTTTTCCTTTTCCACCCTCTAAAGTCAGAAAATAGGCTTCGGACTAAAAGAAGTGTAAATCTTTCTCCCTGAGAGTGTGTGTGTTTCTCCCACTGTAAAAGGAGGAATCTTTTTAATAATACTGACGTGCTGCTTTGAACCGCTCTACAGATCACAAAGCTGCAGGTGGTGACGGCAGCTAGACTTTTGTGCACTGGCCCTCTCTTGACTTGCTTTTATAACGTGTTTAAATGTTCATTTTTACCCCCTTCCCCACTTGCATTCCCAGGCAGGAAAATCTGCTTAAGGGAGGAAAGAAAACTCTGGTGGAGATACGAGTCCAAGGATATTCCATCTGAAGTAAACATCATTCCCTCTTTATCCAAATTTATAAACAACAAATTACAAATTTTTACTCAGCATGGCAGCTGGGGGAGAGGTTGTCAGGCAGGATGACTCCCCCCCTCGCACGCTCGCTCTCTCTTCCCCCTCCCACAAATAAATTAATCCTTACTCTGGTGGTTTGAGATTATGCACTGTATAATACAACAGTGCCTTATCAGACCTCATCAGCAAAGATGGAATTCATGTCTGTAAAACGCTGGAGGCAATCAGAGCTTCATATTTTATCATGTTGATAAGGATATCGCAAATTCTCTGAAGCATTTCAAAACACTTAAATGAAAAAGGGAGAAATGCGACTAAAAGGCTTTTTATATGGTTTGTTGTGGGTTATTATGAGTTATTTATAAACCCCCAAAAAGAAAGATTTGACATTTCAAATGGAAAAAGATTTGAGTATTTAATGGGACTTCCCCACCACCACCCTCTCAATTGAATGTCTTCAATCACATTTTAAACCATTAATATTTACTCTTGTGGCAAGCAGAAGGCTGCAGAGAGAGAGAGAGAGAGAGAGGAGGAGGAGAAAGAGACAGCGGGGCTCTCCCAGGCTCTCATACTTTGCAGGAGCTTCTGTCGCTCCGGAGCGCCACTTCTCAGCGGGTTCCCTTCTGGCCCCTTGGCCGTTCTTCCACCACATCGCAGCCGTGTGTGGGGGCTCGAGAACCAACAACATTTCCATCGGCCACGGGCAGGGGCCTTGGAGTCCCTGGCATGGTTTCAATCCCGTCGGGTCACAATCTGATGCATGGCTCGGCAGAAAAATGCCCACGCCTCCCAGCAGGGCAGCGTGGCTGGCTGAGGGACGGTGGCGCGTGGAGGAGCTCCTCCTGCTGAACGACGTGTTGGATTGGGCCCTGAGCCAACGCTCACCCAAAGGAACGGTTGGGGCTTGCTACCTTGGAGGCACATCTTGGGCAGTGCCCCTGCAGCGGGCAAGGAGGGCTGAGGGCTTGCTGGGCTTGCTGGTCTGGGCGTTTGCAACAGGTGCCTCGCAGACCAGGCGCCAACTCGGACACCCTCCAAGGTCCGAGCCGGCCCTTTCCTGAGCTTGCAGTGCGCAGTGTGGCCTGAGAATCCCACGCAAGCAGCGCACAAGCACTTGAAAAGCACACGTGGCAGAACGGTGCACGAAAGTTCCTCAAACCAATGGGAGGAGCACCGGCGTGTTTCCAAGATGCGCCCAGTGGAGGCGCACATTTGGGAAAACACGGATGAGAACATGCAAAGATGGTCATGCCACCAGAAAAGAACAGAGCTCTGACATGGGCTCCAGTCGGGATGAGCTACGTGAAGGGATGGGTAAGCCTGACTTCTGCACCTGAACCCTGGAGATGTGGCCACCATTCCTCCTCATGTGCTCTGCGCATTAATGCCTAAAGCCTACAGCTGCTAGTTCTCTGCAAGGCAGACAACTCACGTCCGAGCTTGGGGGTGACAACGGCATGGGTGTTGCTGCCCCCAGAATGGCACCCGTGCCACTCCAGGCCCCCGAGGACCAGGCGGCTCCTCTCGGGCGCAGCAGACACGTTGCGCTGGCGAGGGACCTCCCGCAGCATCAGGCATTGCTCGCACGGGGGAACGCAGCGGCGGGGTGGACATCTCCAGGCCAGAAGGCTCTGCATGTGCCCCGGAGGGAGGGGGTGCAAGCAAGAAGAGGGCGTTGCCCATGCCAAGATAGGTCGGTATCAAGGCGGACCTTCACCAACCCGATTTAGCAGCACTCCATGGAATTGCCTGAGATGGATGCTCCCTCCTTGGAGGAAGACCAGGAGCACTCAAGGGGTGCTGGAGGAGCCTGGGTCTTCAGTGCACCCCACGCAGGGCCTCCCTCCCTGGGAGGGGAGCCCAGCCCGGAGGCTGAAGGCGGGAGACTAAGCCTGGGATGTGGACGGAAGAGGCATGATGGCCCCATCAAGCCTAAGGGAAGAATCTGCAAGCAGCAGGGGACTCCCAGGCGGGAGGGACCATCTCCCCTCATCAGGAGGCTCTTCAGAAGACATGGGCAAGCCGTGGCTGGTCCTTGGGTGCTCTGCTCTGGAGCTTTCCTTGGGAACAGGGGGAGAGGTTGGCAAGACTGTTGGTGGGACGTGGCTGAATCCAGCTTCCCTTACCTTACTGGGGACTGAGCACTGACCCTGTGGCCGTGGGCCTGGATGCGTGGCCCACGAGCTGCCAAGACCCTGATCTCCACCTGACCCCAGTGTCCCTTCTCCTGCCGGGCTGCCTTGGCCCGGCAACCGCGAAGCTCAAGCCCCAGAGTGGGGCAGCGGGTGGGCAGAGAGCCTGCAGCCTGAATCCCACAGTGCTCCGTCCCAGGCCTCCAGAAGGGGAGCCCGACCGGCCCAACCAGTCCAGCAGCCTGACCGGCTGCCCACACGAAGGAGAACCTCAGCCACCGAACGGTCCAGAATCCCCTTCCCACATGTCAGGCCGTGCGGGAAAGCCCACCTTGGCCTTCCTCAGAAGAACCACAGAGAGAAATTGAGGAGCGACCCAGGAGGGCTGCCTTCCAGATGGCCTGGAGCACACTTCCCATCATCCACTGCCTGTGCTGCCCAGGGGCAACAAGAGTCCTAGTCCAGCACACCGAGGGCTGGCGATGTCCTTAGTGACTCAACCCTAGAATGCAACTAACTCCGGCTGTCTGGAGGTTGCCCCCCACACACACTTTTTTTGGTTTATGCAAGATTAAAACTGCCCCCTTCCATGACTGATCATCGCAGCCTGGCGGGGCCACCCATAAGCTCCAGATTTAGCTTTGACCCACAGCCCCACTCTTCTGTTGATCAACAGCAAAGCCGGACAACTTTGCTGCAGAAAAAGATGCCTTTCCGGGAAACAGCCGTTCCGATCGGCTCGTTACTGCTGCTGTGAAGGTCAGGCTGACCGCTGGGTGGGTGAAACTCGGCCGCTGGAACTCTTCCCAGGTGTGTATTAAGCCGACCTGAACAAATTATTCTAGTTTTCCCTTTGAATCACTCCTGGCAGCTCTTCTAGGGGCATTAAATGCCGTGAGAATCGAGTCCTCTTTCTCAAGATTACCATCACGGGTCATAATAAGAATAATAATTCTAATCCACCTTTCGGGGAGCACGGTCTTCATGAGGCCAGCTTCCGTGATCACAAAACCCATGGTGCCCAACACAGACTAGAGCAACAGGAGTCTCTCTTAGCTGCAAGAGTGATGCGGGGGAGAGAGTTTCTCCTCGAGAGTTTCTCAGGGGTGTGGGGCCACCCCTGAGAACACTCTGTCCACAGAAATTTCCTGCCAGGAACTAGGTTTTGGGCTAAAAACTGGGACCTCTGACATTGATCTTGACACTTTTAGCAAATGATCCATGACCCTGAGATATGCCAGCTCCTGGACTAAAGGTTTAATCTTCCCAAAGTGCTTTCCCAAAGCTAAATTTCAGTCCCCAACCTATCCAATGACCCCCCGAGTGTACAGGAGTGTACCCTCCTTACAGGGTTAGTGTTTCTGTCTGCAACCCCAAGAACAGGTTTCGGGTTTCTCTACCCAGTGGCGTATTCAATATATAAAAAGGGCACTTCAGTGTCAGTCACAGATGGAGATGCATGGAAGATTTGTTCAACCAAGTTTTTAATCCAAGTCCACCAAATTCTGAGCCAGATGTGCCCCTTTTGAAATCTGGCACTGCCGGAGTTTGGGGATCGGCCGGGGATGGACAGAAATGCTGACGGAGAAAGGTGAGCAGGGATGCATGAGATCCGCTGAAAGGATTTGGGGACGGGTGCACGGAAACCCCCAAGCTGGGTGGAATGCCTAGAAAAGACGTGCGGATGTAAAAAATGGCAGGTGGCTGCAGAAAGTGGACGGGATAAGCTCAAGCCTGAGAGGCTGGACTCCTGGGCATGAGGAAGCTTTACTGCCCGGCCCACCCCGAGCCACAGCGGGTGCTGGGGGTCCTGCAGCCATGCAAATAGGGCCGTGATGACCCTTCCTGGGACTTGCTCCTCACCTGATCTGCAAGCCACGCCGAGAGGCAGCCCGCCCACACTTGCAAATCCGGCGTGCGGGAGAGGGCAGATGCCCAGGCGGCCTTGGCATGGGTGTGATCGCCAGGGGCACCCCACATGAACCCTTCCTGTGCCCGGCAGGAAGCCGGCTCACAGCCACAAGGTCTGGGGAGCTGCGCGTGGGGGATCTGGTGGAAGTGGCCTCCTCCCACCCCCCCACCCCACATGCAGATGGTACTTACATTTAAATTATGTGGACTGTACAGCGAATTTCCTCCCAGACCGTCACTGTATCCTCCCGTCTGATTGATAACATGACGGAGGGTATCCACCTGCAAGGGGCACACACAGGCAAGCGTGACCTCGTCTTTCCCTACAAAACCAGCGATGCAGCGTCACCTATAGGGCAGGGGTATTTTGGGGGGGGCGTGGGGTGCAGGCACACGTGTGCCCCCAAGGGACACATGTTCCCAGAAAGGCCAGTCTTCCAAGCCAGGGGAGGAGGGAGCCCCTCTCTGGGGCTGGGGCTGAATCTCATTTCGGAGGTGGCCTGGGGCTGCCTCCCTGGGCAGGGGGTGGGTTTCGAGGGAGAAGGAGCAGGGCCAGAATGCGGAGCTGCCAGCCGGCATTTGCCGAAAGCCTTTGCTGCCAGGAACCAAGTCTGCCAAAAGGCTTTCCGATATTTTGGAAGGTGGGTGGAGGAGCCACGCCAAAGCAGGGCCAATAAGTGACCGGGGGTGGGAGGGGGAAAATGTGGGGTCAGGGCCCCCAAGGATCCCAGAATGGACCGGTTTCCGCTTCTGCACCCCATCCTGGGGTGGCCTGCTAGTCTGGGCTGAGCCCAAAGGCAGAGCTTGGTGCTGCTGGCACCGCCAGGTGTGTCGTGAGAGCACACGCACCTGTCCTTGGGATGGTCTGCAGCAGGGATGCCTCGGACGGTCCAGCAGCCCCCTGGGACTGATGCAGCAGGGCTGTGTGGGAGCCCGTGCCATTCAGATGGTGAGCCGGCCCGCCTGAGCGGGGCCTCAACAGTGCCTGCCCCACGCCCTTCTCCTTTCGGCCAGGTGCTCTGTGCTCTGGTCCCAGACAGCAGGTGGGGGACTCATGGGTACGGACGTTCTCTGCACTGAGAGCTCCTTGGGCCCCAGTGGGGGGACGTGAAGGCTGGAGGGCGTGGGAAGAACCAGGTTTTCCCCATGGTGTGATTTTGGGGGGCATCCTTGTTCCTGGAGAGGGGGACCCAGAGCAGCAGCTGTTCTCGGGAAAGGGCTTCAGGAGGAGAGCTGAAAAGCGGCACAGTGTTTTCTTCAGTTTCTGAATTTCGATTTTTAAAAGAGCCTAATGACTCCTCCGGGCCCAGGATTCCGGCCGTAACTTGGGGGAAAATTTTAGATCTCGCCAGCACCGGCTGGGTTGGGTGTTTGTCCTGCTAGATTATTTTGACACCCCTGGTTTAGACCAGCCACATTAAAAATGGGGGTTGGGCTGTGGAGGAAACCCACCCCCGACGCGCCGTATGGTGTTGCCCGTCATGTGCGTGTACCTCCTGTTTGGTACAGCTTATTACTAGCCCCGCTTGCCAAGTAAAAGAAAAAACACTAAAAGGCTGCCTTGGAAAATAAAGGCGGGATGTGACAATAATGATAATTAATTAACAACAGAAAGAACCCCGAAGCACCAACCCTTAAACTAGTGTAAGACCCGTCTTTCCTCCTGGCTTCCAAGTTCTCAGCAGCTGCTGCTTTTGAGCGGCCACAGCCATAAGGGCTAGAACCTTAGCTTTCGTTTTTAAAGCAAAAGGAAGTTGATATTCTGCAGCCAAGCTTTTGACAACGCCGAATTCTGTGTGCTGCAGTTTGTGGCATACACGCAGCTCTGGAGGCTGCAGGCGGCCAGATTCAACTTGTTCAAAAGGGGGCCAGGAATGGAGACGGGGGTGGGGGGAGAGGAGAACAATACATTGGGAAGAAAAGATAACAGCTCAGCTATATTGGTTTTTTGGGGATTTAGAAACACTGAAATGGATGGAGACCTCATAAATGAAGCACGCAAACAAATCAGAATGAAACGAAACGAAAGAGAGTGTGAATGGCAAGGGGCAGGGGGAGAGGGGGAGAGAGAGAGAGAGAGAGACGGAAAGAAGATGCCCCGATAAACAAAAGCTTTCGTGTCGACAATGAAACAACACACTCAACCCAATGCCATGAGCTCAAGCCAGAGCCGAACTGCATTCACAAAGCTTGAAAAACTTCAAATTGGGGGTGGGGAGAAGGAGGGGGAAGCCAGCCCTTACCTTGGCAAGGTACAAAGGTTCAAGCATCCGTGACTAGTCAAGATAAACAGGGAGGCCCAATTTGGACAGAGGCACGGAATGATTTTCGGGGGCCCGAGGTTAAAAAAAAGGTGGAATTTCTGGCTGGACGGTTTGCTTGCTTGCTTTTCTGCTCTTTGTGCTTTGAAACCAAGGCCAAGCCGTCCCCTGCGCAGAGGGGCCCTGGTTTGGGGGGGTGTTTTGTTCCTACCTGTGATTGCACATTGGCTCCGACTTGGGACCCCTGGTAAGAATCCCCATTCAGACTCTGCATGTTCATGAACATGTCCCCAGAATTAGGGAGGTTAAAAGAACCCGAAGAACCTGGAAATGAAAGAGTTGAGGAGCTGAATAACAGAGAGCGGCAAACCACACACATCCACCCTCCAAAGACCTCCAGAAGACAGGGGCAGGGGAGACGAGGAGGAGGAGGGGGGGGAGGGGAGGGGAGGTAGCTGCAGGAGGAAGAGGAGGAAGCCAGCAGGACAGAGAGTGCCGTGCGGGGAAGGGCGCCTCGGAAAAGCCGAGAAGGCTGCAGGCAAGCCGGGTGGGGCCGGCACGGAGAACCTGCCTAGACCCCAGGAGCCTATTCTTGCAGTGTCTGGGGGGCCTCTGCTCTGGGTTTCCCCTTGCTTTTGCCTGCTTCCCCTCTTCCTATCCTCTCAATTTGCTCTTGCACTCTCTATCCCGCCTTCTCATCTCTGTGTAAGGAAGCCAAGGTGGCTTCTTCAGTCCACCTCTCGTTTGAACCTCACGAGGACAGTGACGGAGGAGGCTGGGCCGAGAGCCAGTGCCGGGCCCACAGTCATCAAGGAGAGTTTCCTACTCCCCAGCCCGACACTCTAACCACTAGGCAGCACTGCTTTCCTGCGGCCCTTATGCCACATTTCCCTTCACGGCATGGTCCCCCCTTGCCTGCTGTGCCGCACGGGAGAGGCGAACGAACAACAGTGGGGTCTCTTGGGGGGTGGGCCCTGAAAGGTTGCCCAAACACACCGATCCTCGGTGCCAGCCCCACACTATCTCAAAGATCCCATCAGGCCCTGCAGCAATCGGAGTGATCAAGAGGGCCCGGGGCGCATGCCGAGCATCTTCTGGCAGGCTGACTGGTGCCCACTCGTGTGGACACGGTGATGCATCCCGCAAAGAAGCGTTTCCCCCCTTCCCTACGAAATGCTGCTGCAGCAGAGAGTGTGTGCAAAAAGTTTCTCCCGGGACTTTCCAGGAAGTGGGCGGCCCGAGTGAGCTGCTAAGCAACAGGGACAGGGGAGGAACGAGAAGAACCGGGCTGCTCCCGTGTCCAGTGTGGAGGAGTTTTCTAAGAGGGGCACCGGAGGAGGAGAACGGTGCTGCGACCAGCCTGGAAGGCTGGAGTGCCTCCTTTTGGCGAATCGGGCCTGAGCCACTCAGTGAAAGGGCTTCAGGCACGCAGCTCGCAGCCGGGCAGCACCTGCCAGGCAGGAAGGGGTCAGGCAGGTGCCTTGCTGGCCCCGGGAGGACTCCGAGGGGGCGCTCCTCCATGGAGTCCATTTGCCCTCCTGCCATCGAGCGAGGCTGACCAACGCTTCAAGCAAGGCCTCGGACTGACCAGGCAGCAGGAGCCACGCCATCCGTACCGCCCTCAGTGAGGCATTGCATCTGCACCCGTGCATGAAGGAGGCCTCCTCGAGGGTCGGGTCCTGCCACGAGATGAGTTCGCATCTTCTCCTACGGGGCTGGGGAACATGCTTCCCTCCAAAAGCTGCTGGACTCCCACTCCCATCTGCCCTAGCCAGTGCCACCAGTGGCGGGGGATGAGGGAAGGTGCAGTCCACCGCCTCCGGGAGGATATGCAGCGGCCATCCCCATCTAACAGCCGAGGGGATTTCCTGCTCGCGTTCGAAGCGCTGCTCCCCCAGACGGAAGGGTATGCAAGCTCAACTCACTTCCAGCCCGTGGAAAAGTGCAGCTAATTAAGGGGCGACCCTGCGCAGGTTTCGACGGGGAGAAGGCCGACAACCCCCAGGGCGCCCCCGCCAGCGGTGCCTTTTCTCCATCTAAATGTGTGTAGGATTGTGCCTTAACTACCTGCTCCCAAAGGACCAGATGCTTATTTCAGCAATTTGCAGAACTGGTAAACACGGCTCCCGCTATTTTATGTATTAGAATTCGCGCTCCCACAGACAAACGAGACGCTCATGGGAGACCATGGGAAAACGGACCCTGGGCCGCGGGCAAGAGAGCGGCGAGATGTTCAGGCGGTGAAGAAGCTTTGCCTCCCACCAACCCCGTGGCCCCCGGCTCCTTTTGTCTCTAGCTGCTGCCGCGGAAGACAAAAGGGGAACCCTAGCCACAGCTTGTACTTTCATGCCTCCTAAGGACGGAAGTGGTTGGTAACTGCTAATTAAGTTGATTTGTGCTCATCAGAAGCAGCAGCTTCTGTTTCACTTGGTCACTCGGCTCTGCTGTTTCGACTGCCCCAAGGCGGCTTCTCCGCTGGGACGCTGCTGCGGCACCGAGCTGTTTGCATCGGTGGAACCCCAGAGGGGCGCTCCCCAAACCCCTGCCCTCAGGCATGCTGTCCTCCAGTTGGCACCATGTGCCGGGGTACCGCTTTGCTTGGAAACTTCTCGGGGACACGGGAGCGATAGGGTAGACTGGAGGGATCAGGTGAAGCTCTCTTTCCTCTCAGTGCTTAGAGCGAGAGTTGGGCCCTTACAAGGAAGGGGCCTTCAGGGAACCCCCCCCCCCATGCTAAAACGGAATGGGATGGAGCCCCACAAGCGCACGCTCTTCCTGGTGGCTTTATCCTCCTGTTGCCCCGTCCCAGGCAGCTCGGAAGAGTGGATTCCCCCTTGGATGGATTAATCTCACGGAATTTCAGTGGAATGCCCTGCTGGATCGTTTTGCTCCCGGGGGACACAAGGTGAGCCATCTTCGTTAAAAAGGAGAGAGTCCAACGTGTGTCTCTGCTGGTTTGGTCCCGATCCTGTCCCAGGCCACATGAGCAGATGCTGGGGAAGAGTCACAGCATCGGATGATGACCAAGCTGACTCCCCCCCCCCCCACAAAACTTAGCAAGCAACACTCATGGGGGCGTCTGGCTGGGGCCCACCATTCTGCACACTGGGGCAAGGCTGAGGATTCCAGCATGACTCCCAAAGTTGGACCTCGAGGGGGTGGAAGGGATTCTCCCTAGCATTCCCCCGGGCACCGGAAGCCCCTGGAACAAGCGCAATGCAACACTGCAACTGGCAAATCTGGAGTGCTGCAGGCAAAATGCACACGGGGGTCCCCATGGGGTCCACGCGAAGGCCCCAGGTGGTCCTGCCTGATCCCTGATCCCACCCAGCAATCACTGGGTGGGTTTTGTGAGCCTGCAAACCGAATTGCATTTTAGGAGCCCGGAATGCCTTCCTTGGGGCTTCATTACAGGCAGTCGGAGGTGCAGAAAAAGGCCTCCGACTCCCAGCCTTCCCCAGCCAGCCCTTTTCCATCGAAACGGGCGCCAGGTGTCTTTGAGAGGCTCTCCAGTCCTGACCTAGATGGCTGAGCCCCCGTGTGCTGTACCTGGCACAGCACTTTCTCCCGTATCTTTGCTTAAGACCTTTCAAAGAGGCCCTCCACCCAGAGCCAGCCTTTCTTAGGAAAAAAAATACTACCGGGGGGGGGGGGGGGGTCTTCCGGTGAATGGCTGTGGTCACATGCCCTTCCTCTGCCTTACTTTTGGTGTCAGATGAAACGTTTCAAGGCATCCAGGCTTCATATTCAAATAACAAAGCAAAACACAGATCAATGCATGTGTCTTCTTGCTGACTGAATAGTGCGTATCTCTCTTCCCCAGCAATGCGTGTGTTTGTGTGTGAGTGTGAACCACACAGGGCTTCTTTTAACATTATGTGCAGCATGTTCTTCTGGATGAAAAGCGGTTTCTAGATTTAAAAAATAAGCGTATGAGACTGAAGGTGTATTCCTGCCGATCGTGTGCACGCTGCTCAGGAGACAGTGGGAGGAAAGGCGCCCAGAAGGGGGCACAAGGTAAATCATGCCCCCGTCTCTCCGTCTCATCCCCTCCCTGAACAGCCCGCCAAGACGTCTGTCCCCTTTCCGCCCTCCCCGAGGTGGAGCTTCCAGCCTCGGAGAGTCAGCCAGCAGGATTCCCCCTACACAGGCCCTGAGGTGGGGGAGCCCTGATCCCCGTCTGAGTTTGGAGAGCGGAGCTCAGAGCAGGGAAGCCAGACTATCCTGTATCGCTACGCTTCTTGCAGCACTGCTTTCCAAAGCAACCTCCCTCCCACCCAAAGCTGGTGAGGAGGCTGCGGGACAGCTTTCCTTCAGTGCTCACAGGGATGATTACACACACACACACACACACACACGCACATGCGCACACACAGAGGGGGGGAGAGACAGCTCCAAGTTCAGAGTTACAGAAAGGGTCAGGGGATTGTCCTGAATTTGCACTGAATTGTGGAAGCATGGGGCAAAGTCCTGATGGTTTCCCACAGGAACCATGGCAGACACACAAACATTCTAACTGCTCCGAGTGAGTGTGTTCTCTTTATACAGAGAGAGAGGGAGAAAGAGAGAGAGAGAGAGAGAGAAAGAGGGAAAGAGAGAGAGGGAGGGAGGGAGGGAGAGCGCAAGCCACGGAGGGGCATTCAGTTTCCACCGGCCTGCCAAATCTTTGGCCATGAGGCTGTCATTCTGGAAGGCCTTAAGAAAGCAGCTGCTCACCCCTCTCTTCATTTACATGACCTTCCCAGGCTGCCTGCGGAGCCAACAAAGGGGGCACCTTCCCCGCGTCCCCTCCTTCCGGAGAAAGGCATCCGTCAAAGAGCTGCTGGCGCCCGCCTGCCCGAGGGGCGGCTGCGCTCCGGGCCAAGGAAAGCCCTCCTGCGCTGCCACCAGCGTCGCTTCCCTGCCGTGTGGTGAAGGGGGTGCTACGTACCAGAGTTTGGCGTGCTGGGAGAGTTTGTCTGGTTGTTCTGCACAGCTGCCGCCACGGCGTGTGCGGCGGTCACCGCCGTTTTTGCTGCGTAAAGGTTGGCTTCTTCCTGAAATTTCCCTATGTTCTTCTTGTACCTGATCCTCTTGTTGCCGAACCAGTTGGATACCTGCCACAGAAAGGAAAGGACACTTTTCAAAAGGCCAAAACCTGGGCGGTGTGCGGAGCGGGACGCCGAATCTCCCGTCGTGATCCGCGGCAAACCATGCGCGCTTTTCGAGGGGCTGCTTTCCCCTTTTGCACAGCCAGTTCTCTGGGTTTCAAGTGAAGTGGCTGGTTCGAGATCGAGAGCACACCCAGTCAGGGATGGAGCCTCTCGGACCGGTTGAAAATATCCACTAACTATATGGCGCAGTTACGTGGTGGCCAATGACAACATGGAGCTCGGAGCATTCGGTTTCGTTTCTGTGCTCTGAGTGGCAGCTGAGTTCTGGAAAAGAAGAAAGTCCGAACAGCGGAATTCCCTTCTCAGAGTTCTGCACTGAGCCCTGCGTTATTATTTCCCTTCCTGGTATCATCCCTTCCTGAGCATGGTAACCTGGACTGCGCGGGTCAAAACACGGGGAATTGTTCTGCTTTCACCTTCAGCCATTGCAACAGAGTTTTTAGCTCCCAGGCTGGACCACAGTTGCGTGTTTTTGGATGTACAAACATACATTTCAGGCATTTCAGGTGCATGAAGCTGAGGTGGGGAGACTCTTCCTGCCCGAGGGCTGAACTCCACTTTGGAGAAGCTCTTGGAGAGGGCATTGCAGGGGATACCCAAGCGGCCAAAGGGATGGGAACCAAATATTAGCCTCCTATCGCTTGAAGCTTTTACAGCCAGTGACTAAGTCTTGCGGGAGGCATTTAACCCTTTAGAATAGAAAGGGAGAAACAGAGCGAGTCAGGAGGGGCCTCCCGGGCCATCTAGTCGGCTCCGCTCATGACGTGCCCACCATGTGCTTGGGAGCAGTGGGAATCTGGAGAAGCCAGGAAGCCACGAAATAACCCGCAGGGGGAATGGGAAGGGGCATGGTGCGGCCGGTGCGCCCCAAAGGGACCGACGAGGGCCCCAAGAGCCCTGCAGCTCGTGTGTGCGCTTGTTCCGGTGTTGGGGGAGCTTAGCAACGATGCAAATATTCTTCTTTTGTTAGAAGAATTGCAGGTCCAGATGAAACGGGACGGGCCTGATTCACGGGTGAATACATTTGAAAGTGACCTGGATCAGGGACACACGGACCCACCCTGAGGTGGAGAGCCGTCGTGTCCTCATGGCCACATGCTCCTCTGCAAGGGGAGGAAGTTGCTCAAACGACTGAACACCCTTCTCTGATCTTGCCATGGCTCCAGGTAGAGAAGGCGCTTCTTCTCATCCATGACTCGCCTGTCCTTTTCCCCGGGGGAGCCAGGCCCTGGCCATGCATCTGAGGTCCGGGCTGCCAAGCCGCCATCCCTCCTCTGGGCTCCTTCCCACTGGCCAGGCTGCCCAGGGCACCGCACTTTGGACATGGCCCCCACTCTGGCGGCGCAGTCCGAGATGGCGAGGACCTTGAGCGGAGCGTTCCGGCACAGGCACTGCCTCGTTCTGCTAATGGAGGCAGCAAAACAGCAACAGGAGTGGCAGATCCTGAGCAATTTTGCCCTGCCCAGTGTCCAGCTCTGAATAACCCTGATAAAGTTCCAGTATCGTGTGCTTTCTGGAAGCAAAGCATGGAAGTAGGAAAAACCAAGCCTGCTCTTCTGCAGGAAGGTTTTCCTTTACAACCCAGGGCAATGGCTTCTGTTTCCAAAAGCAGCCCAAACAGGGCTTCTGGCTGTCATTCTGCTTCAGTGAGTGCCCAGGGCAGCGTTGCTCAGCTTAAATATGTGGCCAGTGCTAACTTTCCTAGAAGAAGATCTGCTTCTCCTTCAGTGCCCTGTCTCCCTAAACTTCACCCTAGAAAATACCAGAGTAGCATGCGCAGGTGGAAAACTTGGCAGGCAGCAAGAAAACCGTGCAAGGAATTCCAGAGAGGGAAAAATTCAAGGGATTTAGGGTTTTTTAAAGCCCTGTCCTGGCACTGAACCGCCATCATGAAAGTGGGGCCGGCTCATGGGCGACCATCTCCAAGCCGGCTGCTGTTTGCACAGTTTTGATCACCAGACATTGCCTCCAATCCTCATTTTTGCAAAGCGGAAGCCACCAGTCAGTTTCTCTAGCAGGATCACGCTAGAACTGTGGCATCTCCAGCTTCACATTTGTGCAAATAATGCGCACTGCATACATTTGGGCAAATTGCCGAGCCACTCCAATCTGTGACAACATCCTTCGTGTACTTCAAAAAACGCACCAACTGTGGTCCAACTTGGAGGTGGGAATACGCCCTGCCCACTCAGTCCACTGCCGGTTGTTTGGGGCGAAATGGGCAGGATGTCCACGGGCTCCGGACTCCTCCGTGGCGGCGCTCCCGTGCCCACGGCCAGGCCTGCGAGCCAGAGCGCGGCAAGGGAAAGTGGCGCTGGGCCAAACGGAGCGGGAGGCGGGGGCCTGAAAGGTGACGATGCCCTTGTTCTTTGTTGCATGTGTGGGCGGTTGCGAGGGCCTGCGACAACCTTGGCAGGGCCACAAACAGAACCGAGCTCCGTCTGCGGCGAGAACCGAGGGGGCTGAAATAAATCAATACCAGCTGAAAGGCTGCTTTGTCACTCTCCCGCTTTGAAGATGGCCGGACCATCGCCAGGCTGGTTTCTAAGCCTCTACCTATTAACCCACCAAAGGTCACCGTCAGAGCAGTTGGAACAAAGCTGCTGGGAAGCCGGCATGCAGAACCCATTCTCCAATCTTGGCAGCTGGTGGGAGTTGTGTAATTAATAACAGGGGTAAATAACTACGGAAAAAAGGCCTCCTTTTGTGGGCAGACATCGACCCCAGTGAAAGAAAAAGCAAATCCCTAGCCAAGCAGATCCACAGGACCAGGGGGTCAAAAGAACGGTTCCTTATCAAAATCCCCATCACGATGATGAGAATCATGGCACTGCATTTATCGCCTGCTGTTTTCTGCGAGGAACCTTTGCATCCTCACAACCACCACCCAGTGAGGTGGGTCGGGCTGAGAGTCTGACTGCTCCAAAGGCACCCAGCGGGCGCCATGGCTGAGCGGGGACTCGAGCTCCGATCTGCCAGGTCCCGAGTCTGGCTCACGTGGCCGCCACACCACAGGGGCTGTCCCCACACTGCCCTGTGGCCGTCTGGCTGATGCTCTCCCTGGATGATGCTCCTCGCAGGGGTAAGTGGCAGGATTTTCATGCGACCCTCACTGCTGGACACTGCTTCCTCCCAGTTCCACAGTGGAAGATCAACAGCGCTTGGAGATCCAACCAAGCTGAATGCCACCCGGAGCAGCTAGCCATCAAAGACCTCAACGTCCTCTGGCACCGACACGGAGCTGAGCAATGCAGCGCATTGCTTGGGCGTGAAGGAGCAGGGAGAAGACCTCTTGGAGTGCACCAGCACCTCCGTGGTACAGCACAGTCTTGGCTCACCACAACCACCAAGGAATTCAGAGCTCCCAGGCATTCCTGGCACCTCCTGAGAGCCTGGAAAGCCAGTGCCAGAGTGGTCATTACCAAACTAGATGGACCGATAGCTTCTAACAGTCTTTTCCAACCAGGAGCCCTTCGGATGAGTAACAAATCCCAGAATCCTTCAGCCTGACCATTGTTCTGCAACACATCTCAACAGCTGGTTGGAGAATCCAGCTCTATGAGATAGCTTCTTATGAATTCGGGGGTCTCCGGCCATTCCTTTGAAAACCAAGCGATGCACACAGTTGTCCACAAATGGCAAATCCTTTGGAACTGCAGCCAAGGGACAGGAGTGGGCATCCTTCAGGCCTTGTCAGAATTTCAAGAACTCAGCCTCTGGTACCTGAACTGGACTTTGTGCATGATCCCTGCACCTGTACTTCTACCCCCAATTATCCCTCACTTCCTTCGCAGCATCCCCCTCACTGAGGTGAAGAACAGCCCTCTGGTCATGGCAACGGGCAGACAATTAGCATCAGAAACTCTCCATGATCTATGGCGACTCGCCCTACAGGTCCCAATCTACCCTCCCTCCATCCCTCCACCTCCACCCTCTCCATTTTCTAGGAGGAAAACAGCACCTGCTTACTCTGTGTGTGGAGAAAGGTTCTCCATCTATCCATCTGACCCAAAGGGCCCAGGAAAGCGCTGGTTTGGCAAGAGGCCAGCTTGCCCTAGGAATCAAGTGGGGATTCTTTCAACAAAGGCATGCCTCAGCCCCAGCACCTCTCTGGATAGCACCCCAACGTCTTGCTTTGAAGTGACGCCAACTTACTTGGAGTTCGTGGGACGCGGCATGAGGAACCACGGGGGGAAAAGGACAACTCTTTCCTAGCTCCGCAATTTGGGCACCTGCTTTAACATAAATTAATGAAAGATTCCCCCCTCCCCCCCCAGCATGAAACGCAATAAGTGAAGGTGCTTCTTTTCACGTGGCGCGTTCCCAAGACGATGGATCACGGTATTGTATATACTGCACTTAATATGACCTAGTCAGTCAGGAAGCAATAATACATTAATGAAAGCCAGCAAATAATTACTGCGGACAATCCAATTATGGCTTTATTAACAGTTTCATAATTGCAGAATCTCTATATGTCAATGGCATTGTCCGTGGATATAGAAAAATCCGGTGTTTATGCACACCGCTGGACCAATCAAGCAACAGCCATCACTAATAAAGGCTTGTTTAATTCTCACAGTAAAATTTTTAATATCGCCGCAGCCTGGGGAAGGCTCAGCAAGTGGATTTGCTTGACATCGGATCGTTTCCACCCTGCTAGCCCCACTACTTCTTAATCTTTAATATCAAGGCAATTAAAATTAATGGCCACTCGCCCAGAGCCATTGTGGACAGTGTTGCCTTGACATCCATTGTTTGATGGGATTACCTAGAGGTTAGACTAACAAGCAAGGTTTAATTGGAAGCAATGAATGGAGCAGCGGGTCATACGTTATGTTTAACCTGCATCCCACATCCAAATGAATACCTAAGCCAGGGCTGGCTCCCTCCCACCCAAAACGGGGCGCGATGTGTCTCGTCACCTCGCTTCAGCATGCTTG